TTCCTGCAACTTTAAGGTCAATTCCAAGTATTCCTACGAGATGGCAGGCATAGCCGCGAGGTTGGTCTCAATTCTCGGCCACCTGGATATCCATCTGCGTGCAGTAATCTACCTTCCGCCCCCTAATGCTTCTCCTCCTCTTACTGTCATTGGTGTGCCGCTTGAGCACCGCCACATTCATCATCGCCTCTCTGGCAACGCCCCAGTCCTCGCCGGACGTCATCTTCGCCAGGCCGCGCACCTTCGATATCTTCCCCAATCCATTACCAAGGCACTCTATAATGTCGTCGTTGTGGCCACCCCATAGACCCTTGGTCCTCCTGAGCAGAACGTCCTTTCTGGCTTGGGTGTTACGCCAAGTGCGCACCACTTTTGAAATCGATCCCGTAGCGGTCTCGGCGGTTCGCGAGGCAGTGGTCGCGGGGACATCTTCGTCATCGTCCGATGGAAACTGACGAGGAACGACGAGTCCTCGTACCACCTTCAACCCCAGCTTTCTCAATGTGAATAGGGTGCTCTCTTACAAGGACGCGTCTTATCTCCGCCTCCTCCCTACCTTAGATCATGATATCCCTCATGAGGTTTCGACAATTAACTTTTTTTTATTTTCTCATTATGTATTGAAGGTATTGGTGTACAGTTTATACACATGAAGGTGTCTTCTGCGTTTCACTCTGAGAAGAACTCAAGAATGAAGAACAGGGTATTCGGAGATTATGGATCCGGAGTAATCAACGATACCAACATATGTTGACCTTTTCGTACCATGTATATCTTGGCGTCGAGGGTTGGAAAAGGTGGGCCGTTGGCTACAGGATAGCCTCGTACACCTTGTTCATTTGACCAAGCAACTGCTGAGCTCAATCGCGATAGGTGTAGCGTACTTCGATATTTGGTGCGCCATCCGGCATCAAAGTGTTGGTCCATGAGATACCGGTGGCTCGAAGAGTCGAACAAACTCGGTGGGTACTAAGTAAACGGGCCCAGTTCTGGAAATCTATTGGCATTGATTCTTTGAATCGTTGTGATGACGAAATGGTTGAACATACTAACTAGTATCGGTGTTGTATCATCTGACATCGTCAAGTTTTAGTCAAGCTTTGGTCAAGCCCAAATCCGCCTCCTAATTCCGACCACCAGAAACAGACTGATCACCACCGGTTTCATCGGCTCCTGGGGACTCCCCAACTCCTCGCGCTCGGCACAGTAAGTAGACTGTCCAGAATCCAGACAGAGTATAGCGGTAGATATATGAGTAGTACTCCGTAACGACCGCAGTATTTGCTGAATGACAGCGGGATGAATGCGTCAGAATGCCGATGTGGAATAATCGGTAAGCGATGCAGAGTGGTGATCAATATGACCGTTACTCGAAGCAAACTGGACTTCGTGGCGAGACAAGCAGCTATCATAGCTATTGAAAACCCGTTAGCTGGTATTCATTTTCAAGACATAGTTAAACTAACCAGCAACGACTATCTATCATAGTCTTCATTCCAAGTTTCCCGAATCGCAAATTTCCTGTATTGAGGTACTCTGTCGTTCCTGTGTCTCGAGACAGCCTGTCATTACCCGCACGGAGGATTCCCAAAGGATCATGTCGGTATCGTGATTATCATCAATTGAGATGCATCCCTCCGACCTGGCCGGGCCTTTAAGCCACAAGCAAGCCGGACATTTGTCTCTCGGATCCTCCCTGATTTTTCTCTTGTCGGGGTTACGTTCGTGATGTGGGTATGGTTGGGGACACCTTGAACCGGAGGAGTCGGAAGTCCCGGACATCTGCTGCAGATTCCTCTCAGCTTCAACAGTGTAACAATTCGTGGCGCTGAACAAAGACTGGGACAGGGGCTTTCTGAATTGCTCATATATAAAGAGTATGTACGTATACATGCATACATAAGAAGGTGACGGAAGAAAACACTTCCAAGCACTCTACATAAATCAATCAGCCTTTTGCACCCCCATAAAAACGCCATTTATGCAAGAGATCAACACTTTGCAACCCCCAGATCGCTGAGTAACCATCAAAAACCGCGCTACATAAAGTAAAACCCCAAAAGCAAAAAGCTCAACAACCAACACCCGCAGAGACACAAGCTTTCTTTGATAGGTATTGCAGAGGGGACCCCAGATAATTGAATCAAACAAATCGCTGACCTTGGGCCCCGACGGCAACAACTCATCCGACAGGGATAGATACACAATGTCACACGAGACACTGGATTGGAATCATGAGTTGAGGGTTATGCCCTTGTCTATTGACAGGGATACTTTTACTCTATGCTAATTATGTGACATGCTGCTTTTGACGCTTTGGGTTGGCGTAAGGTCTTGTGAAGGACGAATTAATGTAGCGGATCGACGATCGGAGAAAAGCTGGTATGGATGAAGTTGGACGTTATTGTACTGCGATGAAGGGCTGAAGGGGCGAAGGAGTCACTGTACTTCGGTGGTTCTAAGCAAGGTGATTCGTGGTGGCGTTGATGGCTAATCAATAAGGGCCAAAAGCGGCGATGCTGGTGATGGTGCTGCTTAACCTGTGGGGGTACCCCGCTTGAATGGTCAACCTTACAGTGTCGTCATCGGAGGGTTGGTCCGATGACACGTCAAGGTATGTAGACAGCGGCTTCGCTGCGTTAGAACTTCGGCTCGGCTTCGCTAGAAACGGAGACGGTTGCTGATTCAGAATTCTGCAACGTTCGTGTCACGGTGGTGGATTGGGACCAGTTGAATGGACTTCACGTAAAGATTTGGATAGACAAATGATGTAAAAGTTCCTTTTTAACGAGACTCAATTCCTCTAATACATGATCCTCCAATATATTCCAAGTGATGGCCGTATTATAGTTCAGTTGTCCCGCCCCCGTCAACGAGCAATTTAGTTCTGCTCGAAGACGTAGGTAAGGTGGCAGCGTCCACAGTACTGACGGTCGGCCATGGCGGCCATGAAGACACCGGCACCACATCCCTCCTGGGGGCACTCGCGGCGGAGACGCTCGATCTTTCCGTCACCGTCGACCTTGTAGTACTTAAGGACAGCCAACTTGGTCCTGTGCATTGGTTAGCAATTGTTGATGATGAGGCAGTAGAGGGATACTGACTTCTTGCGCTTGTGCTTGATCTTCTTGGGGGTAGTGTAGACCTTCTTCTTGCGCTTCTTGGCTCCTCCACGGAGACGGAGGACCAAGTGAAGGGTGGACTCCTTCTGGATGTTGTAGTCGGAGAGGGTACGCCCGTCCTCCAACTGCTTTCCAGCGAAGATCAAACGCTGCTGGTCCGGGGGAATTCCCTCCTTGTCCTCTGTTGCTGATGTTAGTTGCCGCTCTCTCGATAATCACCAACCCGACCATAACCACCACTACACCACCAATCTCGTCGGTCGGACAGTCGAAAGCGGGGAAAACGTACGGATCTTGGACTTGACATTGTCAATGGTGTCGGAGGACTCGACCTCAAGGGTGATGGTCTTGCCCGTAAGGGTCTTCACAAAGATCTGCATCTTGACGGTGAGGAGCAGAAACTGGCTGCGGGCCGAAGTTCAGTTTTGACTGAACCCAGAATTTTTCACGCTAGTGCTGAGTGTAGCAGCAGTCACATTACCCTGCTGCTCGTGTGCGTCACAAGGATGTGCCATCTTCCGTTGTCATGGCGACGTAAGCGAGGCGCTAACAGCAGAGCCGCAGCAAACCTCCCCTCTGCGCGTTGCAAAGGATGGTGGGGGGAAATCTTTAGCGCGTTAGTTCAATTCCTGAAGCCTGAACTCATCGCTTCACGACTCAGCATCACCGCCAAATCGCCCGCAATGGATTCTGCTATGCCTGACGCCTCTCCCTCCGGCTCCCCTGTAGCTAAAAAGCTCAAGCTTGCCTCCGCCCCTACCATCGAAGCTCCCGCCGTAGGCCCCACTACAACTACCGTCGCCGTTCCCAATGCCTCATCTGGTATCCGCACTGGAGAGAAAGCACAATACCGCGAAGCCCGTAAAGGAAAAGCCGAGCTTCCTAAGAAGAAATACTACCGTCAACGCGCCCATGCAAACCCCTTCTCCGACCACAACCTCGACTACCCCGTCCACCCCGAGGCCCAGGACTGGTCGGTTCACTACCCTGCATACTTCCCCGCGGCTGAGGGAAGCACCCAAGCAAAGGTCGAGGTTGCAGACATCGGATGTGGTTTTGGAGGTCTTTTGGTAGCTTTGGCTCCTAAGCTTCCCAACACCCTTATGCTTGGACTTGAAATCAGAACTCAGGTTACGGAATATGTCTCGGAACGTATCAGCGCGTTGAGGTTACAGGCTACTGAGCAGAAGGAGGGAGAGGAGAAGATGCACCACTACAACAACATTAGCGTATTGCGGGCCAATGCCATGAAGTTTGCCCCCAACTTGTTCGAGCGTGGCCAGGTACTTCAATCCCCAACCTCGCTTGTTTCTTGAAGTTATGATAGCTGACTGGTTCATAGCTCTCGAAAATGTTCCTCTGCTTCCCGGACCCCCATTTCAAAGCCCGCAAACACAAGGCTCGTATCGTCTCCCCCGGATTGTGTGCCGAATACGCATACATCCTCCGCCCTGGTGGAATTGCCTACACCATCACCGATGTCGAAGACCTCCACAACTGGATGACCCACCACTTCTCCGAGCATCCGCTATTCGAGCGTTTGACTGAGGAAGAGCTTGAGGGTGACGTTGGTGTTGAGACCATGCTTGATGAGACGGAAGAGGGAAAGAAGGTAACGAGAAATAAGGGATCCAAGTGGATCTCTTGCTTCAGAAGGAAGGAGGATCCGGAGTGGTAAAGCGGAAGTAGGGACAAAAGGAATACCGTTGCTTTTATGTGGGATTTTGTTTTAGATGGAGTTTTGGAATTAAAAAGTGTTTTTGCCAAAAGTTGTTTCATGGTGTATGGTGTATGGTGGATGGAGGTGATGTTATGTGAATGGGTGACTTCATGTAAGGGGTGCAAAAAGGAGCCTAAATGATAAAAGGCAAAAAGATTCGTCAAGAACAGGACTCGAACCTGCGCGGCCGAAACCATTTGATATCGTTGGTCGTTAGACAATTCGAGTCAAACTCCTTAACCACTCGGACATCTTGACAGAGGTAAAAATAAAGGTAAATACGCAAATTATATCCCATTAAAAGTTAGTGAATTTGTATGCAATCGAACTCGGTTTAGTTTGGGCTTTGCCCCGCATGAATTCGCACGTAGACTCGATAATTCACTTTTCAAAGAAAGTCGACCATCGCATATGCTTAGATAACCTCTCCAGCACAAAGTCTATTTCCCTATGTAATCCCCGTCGTGAAATTTTAGCGACAGTAAAGTGCCCCAAACCTAGCTATGCCCAACGCCAACGAGTGAATGCGAACATGAAAGTCAAACGAAAGATATGCTCCAAGATACGAAATAAGAAAAAAAAAAAAAAAAAAAAAAACAGATATAACGAAAGTGCTCCCGACCCCCACCGACACCAAACGCCAACGACTGAATGAAGATATGAAAACAAGCGAAAGATGACTCCCCGGTAAGAAATGGCCCCCATATGCTCCAAAATGTGATGTCCGAACGAATGAAAAAGCAACAAAGGGAATCCGGCAAACCCACTCTGGGTCTGCAACGAGTGTTGTGGTACAGTATATACTTTTTGTCCTGGGTGTAGCGATTGACTTTGGTTGACACTGCCGAGGCCGGGTTGTAGATATGCCCCCGGACGGACAGTGTCGGTCCTCCACTCCAATCAACACCATAATCCACCTACTTCCATCTTCTCCTCATCCGGATTCGATATGTATCCGCCTTTTGTTAATCTTCCCAGGTCTGTCTTGACCTCATCTGCTATCTTCAACTAACCTCAAAAGTGTTGTCAAAATCTCACACAATCGATAGAATCGATAGTCCATGCTATGGATTCCTCATTGTCAAGGGTCCCCACAATCTTCCCCGCCCTCCATCCTCGGGCGAACTCAATGTCCTCTTCGGTATTTCCACCTGCCCCTCCACCTCCACGACTAACATTGGTGCGGTGGACTGACTCGCCGAATCATAATCCGGTTCCCCTGGCATCTCTGCAATCACCTCCATCGGCTCCTTTTTAAGAACCTCCATAACCTCTTCCATTGGCTTCTGCGGCATCTCCTGTCTCTGTGGTGCTCTCCTCGGCGGAAACGTCTTCACCCTCCTCATCTGCTGCAATCCTCCCGGCGGTAGCGGCCACATCTGTTGCTCCGGTATACTCTGTTGGCTTTCTCGCATCACATACTGTCCGCTTTGTGCATCAAACACCGGCTCTTGCTGCCGCATTTTCATTTCTTGTTGCTTCTGCATATCTGATCCTCTCCAGCCTCCCATGATTGCCCACCGTGGCTGCTGTTGTTCCGGGCGGTCTGGGAGGAAGGCATGCCCTGTCATCACGCCTTGGGGAACGTCGGTGTTTCCCCTCTTCCTGATTTGTACCCAAGTCACACCCACGAATACTAACAATAACATAGCTGCAACACCTCCACATACTGCGCCTATCAAGACCACTTTCTTGGAATCGTCTTTTTCGACCTTTGGGGTGTCGGTGACCCCAGGGGTGAATTGAGCTGCAATGTCGACATCCGTTACCTTTGCAACTTTCGTATGAGAAGCGGAAATGGTTACTGAGCCAGAGACTGAGACATCATTTCCGTCTTTGTCGGGGTTAATGGCGACGCAATCTTTATGGCCGCATGCGAAACCAGGGGGACAACATCCTCCGCCGACGGATCCAGGACATGTTGATAATGGTGGATGGCAGGTACGGGTTTGTGTTATGCTGGCCGGAACCAAGCATGATCCGTTCGGGCCGCACTGGAAATTGAAGGCGCAGCAACCGCCCCCGGGACAGCTATGGTAGCTGATGGGGCAGGCTTTGGATGTGTCTGTTGGAGTCGGAGACGCTACAGGTGTTGCAGTCTGTTATGGGGTTAACTATGTACTTGACGGATCTTCGAACTGAGAATCAGGGTAAATACAATCAATGTTGTTGGTGTAGTTGTAGTAGCTTCAGCTTTGCGCATGCTCTGAGCTTAAATTAGCTGGCCGCCATAGATAGATCCGGATTATCCTTCGATTATCTCCAGCTTACCGGGTTATTATTTGGCGATCCATCGGTAGCTTGTGGTGAAGGGAGGGTGTATGTCGATATTACCGTTAGGGTGGGATTTACGGTCGTCGTCACTTCCTGGACTACTATCGTTTTAGTTTCCGCGCGGCGGACCAAGACCGCGTTGGACAACTGTAAAGTTGCCAACCCAAAGATAAGCACCGTCCATCCGCTAGCTTCGAACTTCATGATATCCTTTCAGCGATGAGGGGTAAGAAGGATTTTCGAGGGGATAATCTGAAGAACGAAGACTTTGTTCGCAAGCCGCGGATCAACTATCGGCCGTCTAGCAATGCATGCGCAGAGCGTGATCTTTGCGTAAATAATCCAGTTAAGCGCTCCGCTGCGTGGGAATGGTCGAATCTGATGAAACAATTGGAGATGCGCGTTTAGGACCGTCGTGGGAGGTGGCAAAAGTTGAACAATCTGTACAATACTTCTTAACGTTTTGTGTATGTCAAATATTCACGGAGAACTTACCAGCTGAACGCCTGAAAAGTAAGTCAATTCAACAAGGCGCCTCAACATAAGACAGCGTTACCAAGTCACGACTTCACCGGCGAACCAACTTTGCCTTTTCTGCGTAAGGAGGGGAAACGTCCGCCGATGGGGGTTGCGATGGGCCAGCTTGCTGCTTCTGCTTCTGCTTCTGCTTCGTGTTCTAGGTAGATACAGACGGCATCATGGAGCAGCGAAGCAGTAGTAGTCCTCATCGTTCTCTGTGCCAGTCTTCTTGTCCTTGTTCAGCCCACCCTGCGACACTGGCATCTATTGGGCACACAACCGAATAGAGAATCCAATTACATGGCCCCATGGAACATAACATGGAATATCGAACCTGGGCTCCCCGGGCCACGATTTGCTTTTCATCCCCCCCATTAGCGCCATTGGTAACTGCGAGCGACTGCAGACACACCTGCAGTGTCTGTGTAGCAGGAACGCGCAGCAAACGAATCTTCAACAGGACACTCCGTGGGAAAGACCAGTAACGATACTTCAAATGACTGAGCTCAGCTTATGGATAGGGATTGCAAGTTGTGCTTCGTGGTCTTACGGCTGGGGTTGAGGAGCCACCAAATGTTCGGCGATCCGATGAGAGCATGGCGACCCCGCTCAGCCCCACCGCGCAGATAAGGTCGATACGGCAATTGCATCCATGGCATCCAGTTCTTCCATCTACTCGTATGGCCATTGGAATTCATCAGCGATGCGATTGGAAAGACGCGAAAGCGTATGAACGATCGGATTGACAGATTTTCGTTCCAATGAGAATCTGTAAATCGCGGTACCTGGTACTTGCCCTGATTCGGTGGGTGTGTGTGCACTCAATTATTCTCCTACAGATGGATTTGTTCCGAGTTGGGATGCGTGCTGTGCTGTCACAGCTGTGCAGATCATTGTCCCCTTTCGGATGGACTAAAAGGGTGATGCGTCAAAAAAACATCCTGGGGGATCCAGTGGGGAAATCCTGGTCGAAGAACGCGCAACCGCAACCGGAATTAAAAGCACGCGCATCGAAGATCATACACCCCGTCCCGATCACCAAAACTCTGGGTTTGGGTTGGCAGTTGACTGAGGCTTTTACCTTTGATACTTCCGAGAATACATTCAATAAATCTTCCGACACACGTTGGTATAAACTACCAAAATCGTTTCGTGGATGATGTCTCGGGAACCGGATCATCAAAGGTCTCAGATCTGATATCGGTTCGAATTCTGAGCATCTCCAAACATCTGACAAAACCCGGTAAACTCAACGCGAGGATGGATGGACGGGATTTCATGACGTGATGTGCACATGGTCACCCACCCTCGACATAATCCTAGTGTCGATTATTTCAGGATCATCATGGCGCTTCAGGGTAAATGGAAGGGTGGATTACGGCGCGAAGGTCCTATGGTGGGGGACGGGCGATATGGCTGGAGAAAACATGGCTTGCTTGGGACAAACATGGCTGGAGATACATAACCTTCAGCCGCACTTCTGGTACCGGCCGGATAGATACGAACTTTCGTGAAATCTAGAATTTCGAACATAGATGGTGTTAAACCTATGGACTAAGAAGCTTGTTTGGTTTAGAATTGTCCGGTGGGGAATAGGGACGTCATCCTAAGCGCAGAGAGATGGATACGGCGAGACTCTAGGCCGCAGTGTCTCCGCGGCAACATCAATGGAAGAAAGCCTTAAATCAAGCCGTCGAAGCTGTAAAAGAACGCAGCTTAAGCGAGCTGAACTTTAGAAAAGCAAATGCGTGATGCCAGTTATCGCTTTCTCTTGGATTTCGACATACAGAAAAATCTCTTTATAAGAATACGCCGGGACTGGAACCATATTCTTATATGCTAGGTATTCTTATGCACAATGGGCTTGGCACAGATGGGGCGCACATCTGCTGCAAAACTGCCTTCACCACCGCAAGCTAGCCCGAAAGTGCAGTGCAAGACCAAGCGCTAACCATATTTGGTCGTGCCAAGACACCTTTTTATAAGAATACCGGTGGGAGAGTCTCTGAATTTCTAAGAATACTCTTATAGGGCAAATATTCATATTTCCCATACAAAATCGGCGGGACCTGGACTCCGTATTCTTATATTCAGGGTATTCTTATATGTAGTGTATTCTTATATGCGTATTCTTATAGGGAGATTTTTCTGTACGATTACGGATTACCACGATGGTAACGGGCGAGAAACGAAATAGACTCTTTGTAAAGCATCAAAGTACCACCTCCGCGGAAATTTGATCACAAACTCGAACCACGAGGACTAGAGCCTCCTATGGCTCCCATACTACCCAAGCCAAATCAGACTGGGAAGGAAGTGGTTCGAACAGGAGTCATGTGACATGACCACAGCCGCGAACCCTAGGCTTGTTTAACTCAATAAACGCCAAATGGAAGTAATCTACCGCGACCCCTCACGATTGCCAAGTTAATCTTGGAATCAGACGTCACATCAGATAATCTAAT